CAGTTCCTGGCATTTTTGTTCCTCTGAACCAAGAAAGTTCAAATGCTGAAACAAATCCAGATGTCTCTAAGAATGTTGAGACATCAAACAAAGAGAAGAATGCTGACATTGCTCACAAGAAAAGAAAGAAGCCCGAATCCTCTGAGTCTGATGACAGTGCTTGAAGGTTGGTTGCTGTTTGGTGGTGTTGCTAGTTGGTGCTGATATCTGGTGGAGTTTGGAAGTGTGTTCAGTTCTTTTTTTCTGCTGTTGCTCTTATTAATTGTTTTGGATAACTGTATAATCATTATGAACATGTATCTTTGGCCCATTTGTGGCTAAAGAGGGGGAGAATATTTTGGTACTTAATATGTGCTTGCTCAATTAGACATTCTATTTTTCTGCAGTCATTTATTTCTGCTGCTATCTATCTCTGATTGCTTAGGGTCTTTAGCCAAAAATCTGCCAAAGGGGGAGTTTGTAGTTGTTTAGGTATTGGCTTGCATTTTTGGTAAAACCCAAGTGTATGTGTGAATGTCATGACTGATGTCATAACATTCTAGTTTAGTCTGTACTGACTCATTAGGTACCTTTGCAGAAAAATATTGTAATTCAAGTACTGATGTTTATAAGTGTGTATCTGAGCATTTTGCAAAATGATCACATTTTGCTAAATCAGTAGACAGGTTTTCTCAGTTGTCATAACAGATGTTATGACATCCTGTTCTGAACTAACAGGTTTGCAGGTTGGATAAGTCTGAGTTTTTTCAGGAAAATAACTCAGTCTTTCCAGAACAGAATCCTGCGTTTTCTGAGGGGTAACCTAGCTCAACCCTAACCTGGTTAATAAAGTCCTGTGACCTGGTCTTTAGGTCAAACGGAATTAACCCTAGGTTTTTGTGGAAACCCTAACTGAAGTTGCAGCTGCTATATATTCAACAGAGCTGCTATTTTGCAAGGAATCCCTTTTGTTGATCAGAAGATCATTTGTAAACTGTATAGGTCTGATTATTGTACTCCAAGCAATTATCATTGTGATAAGTGACTTGGAATAGGTTTTTAATTGTAAGGGTTGTGTAGCACTCAAAGCTTTGAAGCAAGAGTGTTTGAATGTTCCTTGACTAAAGCTGTGAAGCAGAGTCAAGTTAGATGTGTGCATCACTCAAAGCTGTGAAGCAAGAGTGATTGTGTTGCTTGATTAAAAAGCTGTGAAGCTTAATCAAGTGTTTGTTTTTAAAGAGTGTCTTCATCAATTCTTTAGTCAAATTGTTTTATGTATCACTGCTGTGATTGAGGGGGAGTGAGTAGGAACTCAGGTTTAAGTTGTACTTAGATTGGAATTGCATTGGGTAGGTCTTAAGTGAAGGAGATAAACTGGTTGGTTTATTCCTGAATTAACATCTCTTATGGTGGATTTCCTTCCTGGCTTGGTAGCCCCCAGAGTAGGTGTTGTTGCACACTGAACTGGGTAAACAATTGACTGTGTTCTTTATTGCTTTTGTATTTACTGTCATATAGTAAGTCAGATACGGTGTCATAACATTGAACGTGACATTGAGTATCTGCAGCCAGAATTTCAATTTCTTTAACCTCACGGGTATCCCGACGAGGGGCGTCATTTTGTCTGTATTGCCTGAGTCTCCCTGCCTTGATGAAATTCTCAATGGCATCCTTCTGGTGGACACAACCTTTGGTCAAGTGATTATGGCTCCGATGGTACTGATAGTGTTTTGTTTTGTAGGCCCCGGGCTTTGCAGAGGCGGGTTGAGGATTTATGACGCAGTCGTCCTTGAACTCGACATTGATGAACTTCGCAAGGATACGCTCGCGGGAAGCCGTCAGCGGGGTGTAATCTATGCTCGCGAGGCGCGGGGTTTATCCTCTCTTATCTTCTCCCTAGTACGTCGAGAAGGGCCTGCATCGTGGTTCCGTGGGATTTTAGTTGGTTTGTGGTTCCTCGAGTCGCGGGCTCTGTTGGCTTCCTCTTTCTCCTCGTAGTTCATGTATGTCTGTGCTTTTTCGAGGAGAGCGTTAAAATACCTGGGGGATTCAATGCCGACGACCTTTCTAAATTCAGTTCCAGGGAGGAGTCCCCTCTCGACCAAATATCTTTTCATGTGGTCGGCGCATGGGACCTGAATGGCCTCGCGGTTGAACCGCTCATGTACTCCTTGAGGGTCTCGTCGCTTCTCTAGACGATTTCCTCGAGGGAGGCTTCAGTCTTTGGATGTCGCCGAGACGCAGTGAAGTTGCTGATGAACTTGTTATTGAGGCTCCTCCATGAGGTGATCGACCCAGGGGAGAGGTTCTTGTACTAATCCATGGTTGTTTTCCTCAGCATCATGCGGAACAACCTGTATTTAATTGGGACCCTGACGTTGTTCTAGTGGAGCATCGCTTCAAACACGTCGATGTGGTCGACAGGATTAGCAATTTCGTCATACTCCTTCAGTAGAGGAGGCTTCTCCATTCCTTTGGGAATGGGAGCCTCCATGATGGCTTGGGATAGTGGACCGCGGGGGTTTTCTTTGTCTCTTCTGTCTGGAGAGCGAGAGGAGGACCGGTTGTAGCGGCGGTCGTTGTGTCAGCCTTGGCCACAAGGAGGATCCCTTGGCCAAGACTGCTTTTCTTTATTCCCCCTATTTCTTTTACGTTGAGGGAATCCTCACTCCTTGCGCGGGGGGGGGGGGGGGGGGGGGGGGGGGTGACCATGCTTCCTCACCACTTTGGGTTAGCTCCTCTCCAATGTAGGGCCTTACCCAGTTCAACGGGGAGAAGGGCTTCGAGAATTGTCTGGTCAGTCTCTGCGGGGGAGATCGGGGGAGGTCTTCATTCAATCGGGGAGAAGGAGTTCGAGAGTCAGGTCTCATGTGCCTTCTCGGGGCCTGACTAGTTTGTTTGTGCATCATCAGTCGCTCACCCTGTGAGAAGATCATGTAGTTGGTCTGGTTGATTTCCGCGAATAGAGCTCTGGTCGTGGCGCCAGCCTCTACAGGAATGGGGATCTCCTGATATGTATTCGGTTCATAATTCTATGGAGGATGATAGTCGTCGTTGCGCAGTTGAGAGCGAGTGGATGAAGAAGAGGTTATTCCGTCTCTGTGGTTTTGATCGGGACCGACCACGTCGTTGTTATTACGTGCATTATTGTTGTTGACGTTGTTGTCGCTAACGTTGTTGTTGTTGTGGTCGGAGAAATAGACGTTTTGGTTATCATTGATAGCTTGGCCGGCCATGACAATCGAAAGGTTGATGAAGAGTTTCTTTGGTCTTGAAAGGAAGACGAGAAAGCTGGTTTCCCACACATGGGACCACTGGTCGTACCTGATCGGAAGGAATTGCCAAGGTCCACGAGCTTCAAGTCGAGCAGTGGTAGAATTTGAAGTGGGGGGTACCTGCAAGACACTTTGATGTCAAAGTAAGGTTCAGAGTGAGTGCAATTAAGTATGAGAGTATGAGAGAATGAATGAATACTTGACCCTCTCAAGTGAGAGGGTATTTATGTCCCCCAGTGTTGGGCCAAGGCCCCCATTGCTGAGCTGAGCAAGCAGGTCCAAAATGGAGACTGTCAGGTCCTACGTGCGTAGTGGGGGCCAGCACGTGGTCCCCAACCTGAATGGACTCTTCTGAATTGTCCGGAAGATGTGGATGCAGTCTTTTTGGGGTCAAGAGGACTCCGTGACATTCAAAGGTGTTAGGTATTAGCCCTACGAGGAAGGTGCTCGCGAGGACCTCCTAAACGTCGTTGGTCTTCCTCGCCGGTCGTGAGTTTGTCCCCGAAGGACATATCCTGATCGACGAGAGGAGTAGAATCAGTGTCCTACATGATCAAAGATAGACTTTCTCTTGTTGGTTTTCTCCTACACTATAGTTAGATTGAACTTTGTATGATGTTTGGGGCAAGTGCAGGTCCAGTCCAAAATAAAAATATTTTAATTTTAATTTTGAGTTTCATGAAGAGGACGATGGTTTCAATTTAGATTTTTTTTAAATTTTTTTTGGCACTTGAAGACTCTTGAAGAGGATGAAAAATCTGAGTGTATGGTTGTTGATGATGAACTAGATTTTTTATTTAAATAAAATAAATTATATTCTTAATAAAATAAATGTGAATTTTAAATTTTTTAAATTTAAATTTGATAAATATGGAAATGATACATTATCTCACCTAACCTCATGTTATTAAAAATTAATTTTAAATTAAAAAGGAAATTAAAAAATCTAAATTTTAAAATGAGAGTATAAAAAAAAGGAAAAAATTTAGAAACAATTTTTTTAGGTATGATTTATATTTTTTTCTAATAAAAATATGATAAGTATATATTTTCTTCCTACAAATATACAATTTCCTCTTATTTTTACATTATAAAAAATATTTAAATATATTTATTATATTTTTATTGAAGAATATAAATTATAAATAAAAGAAATAAATTTCAGTACAAATGTAATAATTACCTTAAAATTTTGAAAATTTTCATTTAAAAAAACTAACAAATATATCAATCATTCTAAAATATTATAAAAACATTAAGGGAAAAAATGAAGTACAAGAAAAAAATGATTACAGCCGAGAAAATAAATAAAAATATATATTTTTTCAAAGAAAATACTAAAAATAATTAACAAACAATTAAAATTAAGGTTTTCATTTAAGATATTAATTAAAACAAATCTTTTATACGTGGACAACACGTAATTGTTATCTATGGATCTTCCTTCTATTAAATTCAATTAATAAGATTTCATTAATTAATAATAATATTTTAATAAAGAATAATAGTTTTAGTATTGAAATCAAAATATTTAAGTTATTTCTTAAGCACCGTGCATAATCTAAGACACATAAATCAACTTATTAATTTAAAACAAATTAAAACCATATAACATTTCCTACACGGTACACTAGTAATAGTTATATTAGAAGTTCATTCCCTTTTAAATCAACTACCAACTGCATCTTCAAACTTATAAAAGGAGAAGCCTATCTTGCTAGTTTTGGAATATATTAAGGTAAAGAAATGGATAACTGGTTCATTTTGGTGGTTTTGGCCCATGTTGTGGTAGCTACAAGTGCAAGAATTATGCCAATTGGGGAAAGAGTTTTAAAGAATAACAATGCCAATGATATTGCTAATGGCGGTGGACTATCTGGTGGATTAAATGGAGGAGGTAATGCTACAGGTGATGGAATATTTAGTAGACAAAATGGAGCTAGTAATTTTATAGGTGGTGGAATATCTATTGGACAAAGTGGAGACGATAATGCTACTTGAAATGGACGACCAGGTGGATTAAATAGAGAGAATAATGTTATCGGTGGTGGAATAACTAGCGGAGTAAGAGGAGGCAGTAATTCTACTGGAAGTAGACCTTCAAGTGGACTAATTGGAGGCGGTAATGCTAATAGAGACAGTAATTCTACTAGTGGTGGACTAATTGGAGGCGTTAATGCTAATGGAGGCAGTAATTCTATTGGTGGTGGAATATCCGGTGGACTAAATGGGGGCGTTATTGATACTGCTGGTGGAATATCAAGTGGACAAAATGGAGTAGGTAATTCTACTGGTGGTGGAATATCTGGTGGACAAGATGTAAGAGCTAATGATACAGGTGGTGGTCGACCCAGTGGACTAATTGGAGGGAATAATGGCATTGGTAGTGGAATAGGAGGAGGCCTTAATTCTACTAGTGGTGGAATTTCAAGTGGACTAATTGGAGGAGGTAGTGCTAATGGAGACAGTAATGATATTGGTGGTGTAATATCTAGTGGGCAAAATGGAGCTGATAATGATATTGGTGGTGGAATATCTGGTGCACAAAGTGGAGGCGGTAATGCAATTGGTGGTGGCGGAATTGATGGACTAAATGGGGGGAATAATGCTACTGGTAATAGAATAACAAGTGGACTAGGAGAAGGGAGTACTTCTACTGGTGGCAGAACTTCAAGTGGACTATTTGGAAACAATAATGTGAATGGAGGCGGTATTTCTAGTGGTCGTGGAATATCCGTTGGAATAAATGGAGGCAGTAATGATACTGGTGGTGGAATATCTGGTGGACAAAATGGGGTTAGAAATGCTACCGGTGGTGGAATATTCAATGGTCAAAGTGGAGGTGGTAATGCTATTGGTAATGGCCAACCTGATGGACTAAATGGAGGGAATAATGCTACTGATAGTGGAATAGCAAGTGGACTAGGAGGAGGGAGTAATTCTATTGGCAATGGACCTTTAAGTGGACTAATTGGAGGTGGTAATGCGAATAGAGGCGATAATTCTAGTGGTGGTGGAATATCTGGTGGAATAAATGGAGGCGGTAATGACACTAGTGGTGGAATATCTAGTGGACAAAATGCAGCCGGTAATGCTACTGGTGGTGGAATATTCGATGGACAAATTAGAGGCGGTAATTCTACTAGAGGTGGCCGACCGGGTGGACTAAATGGAGTGAATAATGCTACCGATGGAGGAATAACTAGTGGACTAAGAGGAGGCGGTAATTCTACTGGTGGTGGACTAAATGGAGGCGGTAATGATACTGGTGGTGGAATATCTATTGGACAAAATGGAGTGGGTAATTCTACTAGTGTTGGAATATCCAGTGGACAAAATGGAGGTAGTAATGCTATTGGTGGTGGTCGACCCGGTAGACTAAATGGAGGGAATAATTCTATTGATGATGAAATAACTAGTGGTCTAAGAGGAAACGGTAATTCTACTAGTGGTGGACTGATTGAAGGAGGTAATGCTAATGGAGGCGATAATTCTAATGGTGGTGGTTTATCTGGTGGACTAAATGGAGCCAGTAATGTTACTGGTGGTAGAATATCTAGTGGACAAAATGAATTCGGTAATGCTATTGGTGGTGGATTATCTGGTGGACAAAGTGGAGGTGTTAATGCTACTAGTGGCGGCCGATCCAGTGGACTAAATGGAGGGAATAGTTCTACTAGTGGTGGAATAACTAGTGGTGGACAAGATGTAAGAGCTAATGATACCGGTGGTGGTCGACCCAGTGGACTAATTGGAGGGAATAATGACATTGGTAGTGGAATAGGAGGAGGCCTTAATTCTACTAGTGGTGGAATTTCAAGTGGACTAATTGGAGGAGGTAGTGCTAATGGAGACAGTAATGATATTGGTGGTGTAATATCTAGTGGGCAAAATGGAGCTGATAATGATATTGGTGGTGGAATATCTGGTGCACAAAGTGGAGGCGGTAATGCAATTGGTGGTGGCGGAATTGATGGACTAAATGGGGGGAATAATGCTACTGGTAATAGAATAACAAGTGGACTAGGAGAAGGGAGTACTTCTACTGGTGGCAGAACTTCAAGTGGACTATTTGGAAACAATAATGTGAATGGAGGCGGTATTTCTAGTGGTCGTGGAATATCCGTTGGAATAAATGGAGGCAGTAATGATACTGGTGGTGGAATATCTGGTGGACAAAATGGGGTTAGAAATGCTACCGGTGGTGGAATATTCAATGGTCAAAGTGGAGGTGGTAATGCTATTGGTAATGGCCAACCTGATGGACTAAATGGAGGGAATAATGCTACTGATAGTGGAATAGCAAGTGGACTAGGAGGAGGGAGTAATCCTACTGGCAATGGACCTTTAAGTGGACTAATTGGAGGTGGTAATGCGAATAGAGGCGATAATTCTAGTGGTGGTGGAATATCTGGTGGAATAAATGGAGGCGGTAATGACACTAGTGGTGGAATATCTAGTGGACAAAATGCAGCCGGTAATGCTACTGGTGGTGGAATATTCGATGGACAAATTAGAGGCGGTAATTCTACTAGAGGTGGCCGACCGGGTGGACTAAATGGAGTGAATAATGCTACCGATGGAGGAATAACTAGTGGACTAAGAGGAGGCGGTAATTCTACTGGTGGTGGACTAAATGGAGGCGGTAATGATACTGGTGGTGGAATATCTATTGGACAAAATGGAGTGGGTAATTCTACTAGTGTTGGAATATCCAGTGGACAAAATGGAGGTAGTAATGCTATTGGTGGTGGTCGACCCGGTAGACTAAATGGAGGGAATAATTCTATTGATGATGAAATAACTAGTGGTCTAAGAGGAAACGGTAATTCTACTAGTGGTGGACTGATTGAAGGAGGTAATGCTAATGGAGGCGATAATTCTAATGGTGGTGGTTTATCTGGTGGACTAAATGGAGCCAGTAATGTTACTGGTGGTAGAATATCTAGTGGACAAAATGAATTCGGTAATGCTATTGGTGGTGGATTATCTGGTGGACAAAGTGGAGGTGTTAATGCTACTTGTGGCGGCCGATCCAGTGGACTAAATGGAGGGAATAGTTCTACTAGTGGTGGAATAACTAGTGGTGGACAAGATGTAAGAGCTAATGATACCGGTGGTGGTCGACCCAGTGGACTAATTGGAGGGAATAATGACATTGGTAGTGGAATAGGAGGAGGCCTTAATTCTACTAGTGGTGGAATTTCAAGTGGACTAATTGGAGGAGGTAGTGCTAATGGAGACAGTAATGATATTGGTGGTGTAATATCTAGTGGGCAAAATGGAGCTGATAATGATATTGGTGGTGGAATATCTGGTGCACAAAGTGGAGGCGGTAATGCAATTGGTGGTGGCGGAATTGATGGACTAAATGGGGGGAATAATGCTACTGGTAATAGAATAACAAGTGGAATAGGAGAAGGGAGTACTTCTACTGGTGGCAGAACTTCAAGTGGACTATTTGGAAACAATAATTTGAATGGAGGCGGTATTTCTAGTGGTCGTGGAATATCCGTTGGAATAAATGGAGGCAGTAATGATACTTGTGGTGGAATATCTGGTGGACAAAATGGGGTTAGAAATGCTACCGGTGGTGGAATATTCAATGGTCAAAGTGGAGGTGGTAATGATATTGGTAATGGCCAACCTGATGGACTAAATGGAGGGAATAATGCTACTGATAGTGGAATAGCAAGTGGACTTGGAGGAGGGAGTAATTCTACTGGCAATGGGCCTTTAAGTGGACTAATTGGAGGTGGTAATGCGAATAGAGGCGATAATTCTAGTGGTGGTGGAATATCTGGTGGAATAAATGGAGGCGGTAATGACACTAGTGGTGGAATATCTAGTGGACAAAATGCAGCCGGTAATGCTACTGGTGGTGGAATATTCGATGGACAAATTAGAGGCGGTAATTCTACTAGAGGTGGCCGACCGGGTGGACTAAATGGAGTGAATAATGCTACCGATGGAGGAATAACTAGTGGACTAAGAGGAGGCGGTAATTCTACTGGTGGTGGACTAAATGGAGGCGGTAATGATACTGGTGGTGGAATATCTATTGGACAAAATGGAGTGGGTAATTCTACTAGTGTTGGAATATCCAGTGGACAAAATGGAGGTAGTAATGCTATTGGTGGTGGTCGACCCGGTAGACTAAATGGAGGGAATAATTCTATTGATGATGAAATAACTAGTGGTCTAAGAGGAAACGGTAATTCTACTAGTGGTGGACTGATTGAAGGAGGTAATGCTAATGGAGGCGATAATTCTAATGGTGGTGGTTTATCTGGTGGACTAAATGGAGCCAGTAATGTTACTGGTGGTAGAATATCTAGTGGACAAAATGAATTCGGTAATGCTATTGGTGGTGGATTATCTGGTGGACAAAGTGGAGGTGTTAATGCTACTAGTGGCGGCCGATCCAGTGGACTAAATGGAGGGAATAGTTCTACTAGTGGTGGAATAACTAATGGACTAATAGGAGGCAATAATTCTACTAGTGGTAGTCTTTCAAGTGGATTAATTGGAAGAGGTAATGCTAATGTTGGTTGTAATTCTACTAGTGGAGGTCTATCTGTTGGACTATCTGTTGGAGGCAGAAATAATACTAGTGGAGGCCGTTATTTCGGACTCATTAGTGAACCTTGAGTCACAAGTTAATTATTTTGGAATTTACTTTTCTTAAAGAAATAAATAGTGTTAGGAGACTTGTTATTACAATGTTTTATAAATAAACTTATGTTGTAATGCTATTTGTACTTCTAATCTATTACTAATATATTTGTATGCTTCTCTCTTTCTTTCAAACTTATTTGTATTAAATTTAATGTAGTAGATATTTTTAATATGTATGATTGTTTTGTTTGAAAAGTAAAGATTTAAATGGAAAATGAAGAAAAAACTATTTAAATAGTTGAAGAATTCAACCTCTTAAAATAAAATATAACATTATAACCTCTGACACATGAGTTGCTAAATTGAAATAAAAGAAACATATTTTTTCTCTTTTATTAGCAAGTTTATTCCAAAGGCATGTGATTGTTGTTTCCCGTGTTGTTGTCGCTGATGTTGTTGTCGCTGATGTTGTTGTTGTTGTGGTAGGCAAATGGATGTTCTAGTTATCATTGACAACTTGGTCGGCCATGACAATCGGAATGTTGATGAAGAGTTGTTGTGGTCTTGAAAGGAAGTCAGGGAAGCTGTTTTTCCACAGACAGGGCCACTGATCGTACTTGGTCAGAAGGGGTTGCCAAGGCCCACGAGCTTTAAGTCGAGCAGTGGTTGAATGTGAAGTGGGGGGGAGGTACCTGCAAGACACTCTGATGCCAAAGTAAGGTTTAGAGTAAGTTCAAGTAAGTATGATAGTATGGGTGAATGAATGAATACCTGACTCTCTCAAGTGAGAGAGTATTTATATCCCCAGTGTTGGACCAACGTCCCTATTGCTGGGCTAAGCAAGATGTCCCAAAATGGAGACTGACAGGTCCTACGTGCATAGTGGGGGCCAACATGTGGTCCCAAACCTGAATGGACTCCTCTGAATTGTACGGAGGATGTGGATGCAGTCTTTTCGGGGTCAAGAGGACTTTGTGACATTCAGAGGTGTTAAGTGTCAGCCCTACGAGGAAGGTGCTTGTGAGGACCTCCTTGCTCCTTCTCGTCGGTCGTGAGGTTGTCCCTGGAGGACATATCCTGGTCGACGAGAGGAGTTGAATCACTTCCCGACATGGTCAAGGGTAAACTCTTTTGTGCTGGTTTTCTCCTGCAGCATAGTTGGATTGGGTCTTGTATGATGTTTGGGTCAAGTGCAGGTCATGTCCAGAACAAAAATATTTTAATTTTAATTTTGAGTTTCGTAAAGAGAGCGATGTTTTCAATTGAGGTTTTAGGATTTTTTTTATTTTTTTGGCACTTTAAGACTGTTGAAGAGGTTGAAAATTTTGGGTGTATGGTTGTTGATGATGAAACAACTGATTGAAAAAATCATTGAGATAAAATCAATAAAGTCTCCATCGAACGTTTTTTATCCCACAGGAAGGGAAAAGTAAACATCGAGTAAACCTGAGAAGGGTGAAATCAAGGTCGAATGACCTAGAGATCGGGTAAGGGAGTCTGTTACGCGAGGGGAAGTTATTAGCACCCCACACGCCAGTAGTACTCTACAGTATCCACTCTTGTTGTTCTAATCAAAGGGTGTGTTCAAATATAAGCTTACGAGCTAAAATAAAAATGCAAAGAGGGAATGCATGCAAAAGAAGAAAACACGGGGAAAAGAAATAAATATTTACAAAGTTTCGCTTGGCTGAGCCCCGTGACCAGATGCCTACGTGTCCGTTTTAAGGAATAGGGCATCGTAGTTCGACTCACAATTTTCTGTTTGTTTTGTGATTTTTAATGAACAATATTAATTTCGCCTTCTGCCGCAACTCGACCTTTGAAGATTCACGCGTCAACACATAAGTGAATTAACATGTTCTACCTAACAAGGTATTTGCAAAGAAAAATGCCCGAAGGCGAATAATGCTACATTCATGCTCTGGAAATTTAGACATAATGCTGCCGACCTTTTCGGATTTACGCGTCGTGTTGCATAGAGTAGAATTAACACATCCTTTTGAAGTTTGAAAGAAAGGCCCGAAGGCGAGAAGAGTTTGCATTGGTTGATGTTTTTTACCTTGAAAAAGTATTTGAAAGTTGTTATATGTTTTATGCATTTTCCAAGAAAAGAGTTTCAGTCTTAAGGATGCAAAAAAGAAAGAAAAACGTCTAATGGAGACTATCTAAATCTATCCCAATTTTTCCCCCTAAGATTCTTCTATCATCTCATATCAAATCAATCACAACAAGATCAAACTACGGCTTGGTTATTCTCCTTATATTTAGGTTTGCTCATGAAGAATCACCAAGAACCTTGAATCATATATGTTTTGTATTGATTAACTTTTAACTAACAAATGCAATGAATGTTTGCTCTAATTGATGATGTTATAGGTGAAAACACAACATATTTCATCTGGTTAATCTATAGGTTCATGAGTTTATTTCCATGCCTTCTTCAACAAAGCTTCATTGATACTCAATCTTCATCATTGAAGATAATTTGAAGTGATATCATGACAAGGTCTAATATGATTCATCATGCCTCAATTTGTCAAAGAAAATCAAAAGATGCAAAAGTTGATTGAAGAAGTTTGACCTAATTGGACAAGTTCTTGATTTCTTGATCACAAGTGCATAACTCTCTCAATTCTCAATATTTGGAGGTTATTTTTGGTTCTAAGGGTTCTTATTATCATCCAAAACAACTTCTATTCACATGGCAAAAGTATTTGTTCAAGAAAGTTTGTCAAAATTGAAAGGGGTTCCCAAGGCATTTTGTTGCTCTAGGAGCTAGGGTTTTGAACTTCTAAGGGCTATATCTTCCTCATATTTTGATACTTTTGAGTAATTCCACAGACATGCTTCTCTTTACATGGTTATCAACTAATCACTTGAAAATTTTCAATAAGATTTTATCTGGAAGATGTCTAATGATGAAGAAAGATTAGAAGTCCTCTAGATAGGCCATCAAATTTCCTTATGTGACTTCAAAAGATCATAGCATGGTCAATTTTTATCTCCTTGAGCCCATTCATTTTCCATAATTATTTTAAAGATGTGAACTTCAACTCTTATTTTATGTGCAAAGCTTGAAAATTGATGGAAGATGCCCTAAGAATGCAAAAGATTATCGGTCGCCTCATGAATTTTCACCAACTTCACAAAGTCACAACTTTCTCAATTCTTGGAGTTTTTAAGTGGTTCAAATCTCAAAATTCCATTTAAGGTATCTACTTCATGCTATATTTTCTTGGTCAAAATCAAATTTTAAGTGGAAGGCCATATTTGGATGCAAGACATTATAGGTCATTTTTAAAGAAAAAACTTAGAATTTTTCGAAGTACAAAAAGTCAGTATCTTTTTTCCAACTTTGACTAATCACAACTTTTAGCTCAAGCATCCATTTAATCTCATTCTTTGCATATTGTAAAGGTTGTAACCTCATCTTTCAAATACTTCAAGAATCATGCCCTAAGACCCCTTGAGCTATGAATGCCATGGATTCAAAGTTGGTACCTTAAAACTGAAGTTTCCTCCAAAGTCAGAATTTGAAATGTACAATTCAGCTTCTAATCACCAAATTTTTGCGTGTTTTTACTTCTAATCATGTTTAATAATCTTCAAGAAGTGATTAGCACATTGAAACACAAGATTTGGTTGAGTTTTGAACAAAATAGAAGTCACATTTTTCATGTTTGCAATTTCACACAAATTTCCTCCAAACTTCATCATTCCATACGCTTAAGCATTCCATTTACTTCCCTATAAATAAAGGGTCATACCTCATTCATTTTCTCAAGCTTAAAGAGGCAAAATCACTTTGTCAAACTCCCTCCATAATACCCTTTTCTGAGATTTCGAATTCCTCTTTTCACCACTTTCTAATCCAATTTGTTTATTGATCTTTCATCCTTGAACTTCCCTGAAGCTAACAGAAGAAGAGTCAAGCCTTGAGGTTCCCTGAATCGTGCTAGCCAAGTCCATTTACAGAGCAAGTTCATCTGACTTTGTTAAGGTTGTTTAAGGCACCAAATATTCTAACTCAAATTACTAGAATGGTCTATGAAATTCACTGATGCTTGCTCTTAACTTAATTTTGGTGAAACAATGCATTTGATACTTCTGAAGGCATCAACGGTACCAGCAAGTGAAACAAATGTTGTTATTAGATAAAGGAAGATTAGACCAACTAGAAGGCATCAATGGTACCAGCAACAAGTTGCTTCTGTGACTCCAGTCGTCAATGTAGCTCCAACCACAATTGCCTATCAGAGACCATCCCCTCATGGAATTCAAGGGAAGAGTCAGAAGAGAGAGGCTTTTGACTCTATTCCAATGAGCTATGCAGAGTTGCTTCCGGCTTTAATTCAGAAGAAGTTGGTTCTGACCAGGCCACCCCATATTATACCATCACGTCTACCTTGGTATTATAAGGCAGACCAGACGTGTGCTTTTCATCAGTGAGCACCAGGGCACAATGTTGAGAACTGCTATCCTTTGAAATCTAAAGTACAAAAGATGGTGAGATCTAGCCTCTTATCCTTTAAAGATGTTGGCCATAACATGAAAGATAATCCTTTTCCAGTGTATGGAGGAGTAAATGTTGTAAACATGGTTGGTGGTTGTCCAGGGTACTTCCAGATTTTTGATACCAACTTGGTTAGAGGAGATTTGGTAAAGATGCATGTTGACCTCTACAAGTTTAGTTACTATATGCATGACCATGCTGGTTGTGGTATTTGCAGTACATATATCAAGGGATGTAATAAGATAAAAGCTGATTTTCAGGAAATGATGGATGAGGGTCTAATTCATATAATCAGGCCTAGGGAAGAGTACGAAGAATATGTGAATATGGTCTTTGGTTGTCCTGGTGAATTCCGGATTTTCGACGTGAATCATATGAATGATGAGTTGGTGTTGTTGCATGCTACCTTCTGTCATATGGATGGTCAAGAAGAACACCATTATGGGTCTTTCCGTATTTGCTGTAGAGATTCCTGGGGTTGTTCCATTTTGAGAAGGGGCATTCAGTTGTTATTGCATAA